CCTCGCTCCTGAGCAAATTACACAGCGACCTAAAATTTCCTTAATGAAAGCCAGAGCAGCCAGGCTCAGTTTAACAGCCTAAAAACAAAACCCCCAAAGCTGGAAGGTATTTTTCGTATCGTGGAAGCAAGAGCTCTAGGTCCCGTGGATCCCCCACGGCCGACAGAGCACACGTCGGGGTTTCAGGTAGCGAAGCGAGGGCAGCAGCTGTCCGATGCGGCACCCCCAACTCTCCCAAACTGACCAACTAGCCCTTGCTCAACTTCAACAGTCGCTTCTCCGTGAGCACTACCGCCCTTGGGCCAGGTGACCGCACATTTTAAATGTGTCATCTTACAGTCACTCCTGTTTCTAAACCCACAGTTAAAAAAAAATAAAAAAATCCCAGTACCAACAGGAATCCGCACCCACCCACTCCCCCAAATCCTGAGGCCGCTGAAGGAAGGGCTCCTCAGCAGGCTTCGTTTTCCCAGTCAGTGCTCTGGGAAACGGTTCAGGGGCTTTGAGCAACCTGGTCTAGTGGGAGGTGTCCCTGCCCATGGCAGGGGGGTTGGAACTAGATGGTCTTTGAGGTCCCTTCCAACCCAAACCATTCCATGGTTCTATGATACAATTCTTTCCCCCACCAACATCAGTCCTCACTCAGAGGGGCACAACGTTTGCATTTCCAACGCTCAGTTTTTTGCTTCCAGCTGAGTCCTCCTGCTGTCGCTTGCACCTTTTCCACCACCGAGTCCCATCCTTGGGACCACACGTTCTCCGGCCTCGTTCCTCTCCTGTCACTGCACTAGTCAGATCCTACTCTGGTCTTTACTGTAGGTCACCCCTCTTCATTCAGATCAGTAGGTCACTTAAAAGCATTTATCACCACCAAGTATGCTACGAACCTTCCTCTTCCTCTTCTTCCTCCTCGTCCTCCTCATCTTCATCAGAGCTGAAGGTGCCATCAGGCAAGCTGTAGATCCGGATCACCTGCTTGTTAGGGTCCTTGAGGATGAGGTATTTCCCCTCATCCAGCTTCATGCAGATGTCGATGACGCATCGCAGGATGCCCCAGGCGTTCTCTATGCTCAGGTTGATCTGGCTGGCAAACTCATTTGGCTTGAACTGCTGCGTGCCCAGGATCACGTGGCGGGCAGAGTCCTTCACGTGGTAACGGGATACGTACCTGGGGGGGGGCGCAGAGAAGAAACCAGAGGGGTATCAGCAGACTAATCCCAGACAGAAGAACGACACCGAGAAAAGCAGCGTGATCATCTTTAGTTTTGTTTTCTGGGCTGGAAAATCCTAATACTCCAACACTGAAAGCTAAGAGGATCTCCTGGCTACAAGCTGTCAATCAGTAATGTACCCGGAATCCTTCCACCCCCCTAAATCAGATGGAGTAAAAAAGATACAGCAGAATTAGTCCCACAGATAAAAACTAAGCAGTAACAGGATTAGCTGGGAGTTTGGAATTGAACAGATGCAAATGCATCAGTCCCATATCCAGGGACGGAACCCGGGACTGCAGAACCACCAGAACCACGTCTGCAAATGCCTCTCGTTTGCTATCCCCAGCACAGACTCAACTGATTTTAAGCCAATAGTTCAAATAAGGGCTGTGGCGGTACCTCCCCTCCACCTAATTTCTCAGTAAGAGGGCACTGAGGATCTCAGTCAAACCCTGGACAGGTTGAACAGTCACCACGTTTATTTCCCTTGCTGCCAATCTCGGCAAACAGGCTGAGAGCTGCCTAAGCCACCTGTCCGTCACGCGTGTGAGGTCTCACACGGTCAGTCACAGTGCAGGGGGGATGATGGGCACATCAGCTGGATGCTGAGGGGAAACAGCTCACACCAAGGCTGCTGCGCTCACCCCAAGCTTTCCCCTCTTGGCCGCTCAAAACATGGGGCGATTTTACGACTACTCATTGTGCAAACGGTTCACTTTGACACATACCGGGTTAAATCACGGAACACGCACCTGAAAGACGTTTGGTGTGAACACCCCGTCTTACCCGAGTTTAAGATACTCCGATCCAGCCAACAGCGCGCAACACGTCCAGCGGGCCAATTTGTAGCTGTTGTTTTTCAGCTCTGTGGCAATCACAGCTCCTCTCTGAGAGTCAAGCTTCTGGCGCCAGTCTACTCCATTGCAATACTGAGAGGAGGATTAAAACCAGGGTCAATCTAACAAGCCGCCACAGGCGACTCTTCAGCCATCTTGACATCACGTAGGGAAGTTCCCTCTGTCTATGTCACGATACCGCACGAGGGAACGCGAA